GCTCAGTGTCATTGGCATTGCACATTTTTCAATATAGATGTATAAATCTAAAGAAATTTTAATAGAAAAAAAAACGTGCTTATCACATGCGATAGAAGTGAAACCTACAATAAATTGTTTCGAAAACTAAATAATAGCTTAATAAAAGCAAAAAAATTATGTGTACCAATTTTCATCCAAATCCGTTCAGTAGTTGGTACGTTATTGAATAACAAACCATACAAACTTTCTCATTTATTATATTAATAGGTTTACATTACATCTAAATCCAGCAGTGCTTACGTTTAGTGTGCGTAGTATGATCATGAGTTGCCACTAAATCGCGGTATCCCTGCAAAGCCTTTTCCAATTGTTCCACCCTAGCCGAGAGTAATGCAGCACTGCCCGCCCCAGATTCACCGCATAAGGTGACCGACAACTCCTTCTCGTAGCAATCCAGCTGTTGTCTATCGTTGGAATGGGGAGAAAAATGAAAATTATACCTCTAAATGAGGCTTTCAGCGCAAAAGTAGCCTAACCCTATTTATTCATATTCTGATTAAGCGGCCTTCACTTATGAAGTTAAGGTTTCGAGAAAAAAATCAATACTAAAAGAACTTTTGCAACGCCATCTATTGACGCCTGGTGAAACAAGAGATAGGTCGATTTTGAATTAAATTTTAACACATTTTTATTTAATTGTAGAAGATGAATCAGAATATAAGGGTTAGGCCACTTTTGCGCTGACAGCCTCAAATATTTTTTTATTAAAAAGAATAAGTTATTTGACAAGTTTTTCAAATTAATATGTTATTTATAAGTGTATATATATGACTAAAAAAAAGGGGATATTTATAAATCTGTTGCGTATACCAATAAAAAAACGCAAACTTACAGGCAGGTGACGTCACACGGCTCTCATTAAAACGTCAAACAGTACGAAGTAATGTCAATTTGACAGTGTGTTCACAAGCAGGTGACGTCATTTTAGGCTCCGCCAATATTATACGCTTTCGGTTATGTGACAGTATATCAAAATATACTCTTCTATTTGATGGTTTTTAGTAATATTATCAACTCCTTTTTTGTCAGAATTGAAGAAGTGAAATTGCTCCCAATATTCATGTTAAATTACACATACCCATAATTAGTACTTTATGCTTTCATACTGTCAAATAGCCTACACGCGATTCAGGTATAATCGAATCGATCGAATTCAACTATTCGAATTAGATATTGGTTCGTGCTAAAGGTACTGTGCCCCTAGCACGAACCAATATCGAATTCGTATCGTTTGCGAGTCCGAAATGTCATTGTCAAATGTGTACTGATTTTTAGTTCTCGTTACGTACTTTGTGCCGCTGCTGTTCAAGTTTCCATACAAAATTTGACATTGACATTTCGGTTTGCAAACTATTCGAATTCGATAAAGGTTCGTGCTAGGGGTACTGATCCCTTCAACCATTCACAGAGACGTAAAATTCAATAAAGTACATGACAATATTAAGCAACTACCCTACAACAGGTTCAGAATAGTATTAAAAAATTGGCTATTGAATAAATGCTTTTATTCTGTAGATGATTTTTTAAAAAATAAGTCCTGAATATTGAAATGGATGTCGATTTAGGGTTAATTTTATTTTGAATATATATCTTATATATAATATATTGACATGAATATTACTTTTGAATTGACATGAGGAATTGTAATTAATATTGACTTTGAATTTAATACCCTTAAATTATCATACTGAAAAAAAAAAATGATATTATGGACTGATATTGGGAATTGTAATTAATACTGACATAAATTTGAATTTAAATTATAATGATAAAAATAAAATACTTGTTATTAAATGAATGATAGGTAAATGTCATATGACTGTTATGTTTTGATATGTTAGAATTTTTTGCATGCTATTAAATATGGCTAAATAGGTTTAAGATTCTTAGCTTTTAACTAAAGTTTTATATGCAAACACCTTTTGTCAACCCTGTTTAATGCAAATAAAGAGTATTCTATTCAAGTGTTATAGTCTAAAACAATTACCTATAGCTGTCTCTCTCTCTCGACACGAGCAGTAGCCGCTTCTGCAATCTATGGATGAGGCTCTCTTGATTCTTGCGCACGGTTAGCAAGTCGTTGAGCTTCGCCGCAGCCTTGTCACGTTCATATTTAACAGTGGCTATTTCCTACAAAAAATGGGACTCATTAAAACTTTGTTGAGTTTAATGTGGACGTAAAATGAAGCTAAACGATATTTTATTGCATCTTCAGCCTATTCATATCTCCATTACTGGGGCACAGGCCTTCCCTGTAAATACCCACCCAGTTTGGTGCGTGCTAACGATTACAGATTCAACCGGAACCAACGGCTTTACGTACCTTCCGAAGCTTGGGTCGTTTGATTTATTTGTGATAAGAAACTTTTATCACTAAAAGTGTGTGCTAACAAATAATAATACACCTTTTGTATCTCTTTTCTTGCAAATAAATAAATCTGAATCTAAAATGAGATTTAACAAATTTTTGGTCACCCATCCTATAACTAGCCACTGCATCATCGATATTCTAGAAAAACCTAATTAAACTCAACTAGTGTGCCGATCGATAGTATGTCGATAGCCAAAAAATCGCAAACTATCAATAGTATCGATACTATCGATAGTTTATCCTTCTCTAGCAACAATAATATTGATAGTATTGCCTAGTTCTGAACTATCGATATTATCGATACCATCTATAGGCCAGTCGAAAGTATGGGGGTTTTCAGATGAGAACTATCGATAGTTTAAATACAAAGGATAGTTCGGCAACACTACACTCCAATTATAAATCGTCATTGAGTGTGGCTGTTAATTATTTCTTACCTCAGTAATTTGTGCAAGCTGTGACTGCGCTTGAGAACATCCTGCAGTAGCAGCCAATTGGCTCGTCAAAGCAGATTCAAGGGCCGAAGACAAAGCTCTTGCGCTTTCTACACCGTGGTTCCTGGCTGAACTCTTCCATTCTTCTAGTGAAGCTTCCAGCGAAGCAATCTTAACCTAAACGAATTGCTTTTATTATTTTAAAGTGCCTATGGAAAATTTTGCTAGAAAAATCTACTCGGGTTTAGGTGACAGACTGGATTCGAATCTACAAGTGTGTATTATTAAATATAGAATACGAGCTATTCGAATATTAGAATAAAAGTCGTTAATTAAAATTACAAAAAAGGATAGATTTATTTATTAAACAACAAAGTATAAGGCGTGAAAACAATTATGGTGAAATTTGCAATCAACAAATAAAATACTGTAACAACCTTAGGTCACCCCTATAGGCTTGTCAACCCTACGAATTGCACGCTTGCGCGGTAGAGCCGAGCTGTGAGTAACTTAGCAACGCGCTTGAGTGATAAAGAAGAAATATATTAATCTTACTAGGTAGAAAATGGTGTCGATTCTGGCATGATTCTCTTAACTTAAAACTAAATTTAACATCAGTCCCTCCTTTTCATTCTGTTCAGAGAATAACAAGGATGCACTGTTGTGAAATTTAAGTTTAGGTTGAGAGAATCATGCCAGAGTCGACACCGATGTCTAATGATTTCTTTTGTAATTTAATAATAAATGCCTTAAGAAGTACTGCTGCCTCATTATAATACTCCCTTTTTTTTACAAAAATTGCCTAGCTATTGGTAGTTATGCATAAATCGAAAGTAAATCTACTATATAAAAATAAGTCGGGTTTTCCTTCCTGACGCTATAACTCCAGAACGCACGAACCGATTTCCACGGTTTTGCATTCGTTGGAAAGGTCTCGGGCTCCGTGAGGTTTATAGCAAAGAAAATTCAGGAAAAATTAAAAAAAACTTCTTTTAATCGCCAAACGAAATGTTACATAAAACGAAGCCATCTGGTGGCGAAACGGAGTTCGCGGGGTTTGCTAGTTTTACTATAAAAAGTTCCACGCGAACCAGGGAGCCAATCGCCTAACGGATTCGCTATGGCTATCAGCAAAGGATTGATTCGTTTTTTCTAAGCGATAGCATCGCTATTTTTTATTTCTGACCGCCGAAGGTTTTCAAATACTTCACGCTCATTTTATTTAATATTGTTATTACTAATACAAAAAAAATGCGCAATGATAACCTTCGCCGGTTAGAAATAACAAAATGAACTATTAAGCAATAGCTATTGCCATAGCAATCCCGTTAGGCGGTTGGCCCCCAGGTAGCAGGCAGGACTCGAACCCGCACCCTTCGCTATCTGGGCGAATGCACTGACCTTTATGCTACCGCGGCCCTGATGGCCGTGTCAAATTTCCTCTAGCCTTTCTTAGGCTGCTAGGCCGCACAATCTATTCGCATTGTAAGTAACCCACAAAAAAAACTAGTATAATTTTCTTTACATTTAAGAATCCAGCAGTTAATGCTTAAAAAATAAAATAAAAATATAAAACAAAATATAGTTAGGCATTAGTCGGATTAGTCTTCCTTCTCACATTGTACCAGATGAAATAAGAGACTTACATTCAAACAGTTATCTCTTAAAATTACATAAGCATATAACTACCCTATTCAACAACTACCATATTACCACCTAATCAAGGCTGTGTTCAAAAAACATTTTGTAGACAAAAATATTCTTGAATTGTAGCATTATTTCAGTCTGCAAACTTTCACATTATTCAATATGTAAAGTTGTTTACATTTTATATTACTCAAAAATTCATCAACAGCCATCATTCTTAATTCTAGCTTTAATAATGATAATATCCTAATTTTTATCATCTATATATATAAAAATGAAACCCGTTTTCCGTTGTCACGACATAACATGAAAACGGCTTGACCCATTTCGCTGATTTTTTTTTGTAGTTTTCTAATACTATGTACAAGGTTCTTACGGAAAAATATATAAAGAAAATCTCTCAGAAAGATTGAAAAATATAACGTAACGAATTCAACGTCATTCAATTTAAAACAAAAAATCTGTGGTAATCTGTGACAGGAACAAACAATTATTAGCAAACAAAAAACTTCTTAGTCTTTAAAACAAAACGAAATTATTTATCAAAAACTTAATAAAATTATTGTTAGCGCGGTTATGGACTAGCTGACCCGGCGAACTTCGTACCGTATAGTTTATCAAAAAGCATTAGAATAGATAGAAGCAGTGAAGGGTATAGAGGCTATTAGTTGCTTTCAAGAGCGCGCGTGGTGTTGAGCTCAGTGTTTACTTCAAAATGCAAAGTTGTTCAATAGCGATTTGTAAAAATATGAGTGAAATTGAACCCTATGGAATAAACACTATTATGAAAATATATATGTTGTTTTTTATTTAATAAAAATTAGTAAAGTCCTCAGGTATGGCGAGACCAGGGAAATAAGGATTCATTTTTATATGGAGGATATTATAGATTCCAGTTCAAATTGAATAGGTACTCATACATAAGATAGGTCAGCTATACAAAATAAAGTAGTGCATCAAAGCTACGCTAAGGCGGTACGAAGTTCGCCGGGTCAGCTAGTAAAATATATAAATATTCAGAGACATCTTATGCCAGTACTTCACAATTGACTATTTGTGTTTGCTATTTGTAAACTTGTCATCAGTGACCTTTTCATTCCATATAAAGTATGATAAAGGCAGATTTTTGTCAAGTTTACAAATGAGGATGTCAGCGGAAAAGTGGCCTAAACCTCAATTATTCATATTCTGATTCATCTTCTACAATTAAATAAAAATGTGTTAAAATTTAATTCAAAATCGTCATTCAATATCGGCGTCAATAAATGGCGTTGCGAAAGTTATTTTTGCATAGATTTTTTCTCTCAACATAAATTTCATAAGTGGCCTAAGCCGCTTAATCAGAATATGAATAATTGAGGGTTAGGCCACTTTTGCACTGACCGCCTCAAATAGAATAGTCAGATGAAGTGCCAGCATTATAAAAATAAAATAAAAAAGCTTTTATTAAAGCTACCAGATTACAAAATTTGTTTGAAAATTTGTTTTTTTTTTCTTCTTTTGTTGTAAACGTAGCGTGTCAGTGACACAAGGCCTCCCCCAGCCTCTACAGGATGTCCAGCCGATGCTCGAATCTTTGGAGAAATGCTGCTTCCAATCTTCGCACTCAGATCTGTTTAGGGCTATTCTTCTCCAGTGAACTCCCACCGTCTGTTTAATCTCGTCTGCCCATCTAGCAACTTGCCGTGCCAGCATTATACATTAACAAATAGACAACATCGTTTACCAACCTGTATTCATAATAAACATAATTTGATTTTAAATACTAAGCTAGCAATAATCCTGTACTCACTTTAGCTTCATGCAACTCCTGTTGGACTGGCTGCAGAACTTCAAGCCTGGAGTTGAGCTGGTGAACTTGCTCTTCCAGTAACAACTTGTTGCAAACTGCATCGCGGAGCGAGCGCTCTGTTGCCCGAAGACGGACAACTTCCTTTTCTAGCTCAGCCATGTTTGAAAGCCTTTTCTGAGCAGTCTACAAAAAAATCTATATTATAAATCTAAAATTGAAAACAACATTCTAGATCAGCTCAGTTAATTCATTGAAAGCTAAAAAACTAGCAGAGGATGAAGTGATTTGTACTTTAAAATTAGTATTTGTAGTAGTACAATCGGTGAAAGGTTGCTTAATTCTATTCAAGACCGTCTTAATCAGTATGAGAGTGCACACAGTTGACAAACAACATATGTAATTTGACATTTGTACGGCCTGCTTGGATTCCATTAAGGACAAGCACCAAAAGATGAAACCATTGGACAATAGTTTTCAAAAGTTTTATTACTTTTCAAATACATTCAATAATGCACAACTGACTGTAGTGCATTATTGAATAACTTTTGAAAAGTCGAAAATTCACTAGTGTGCAGTGGTTATTATTAGACTTGCAACGAATATTCGGTTACTATTCGGTATTCGGCCTATTCGGCTACTTTTATTATATTCGGCCGAATACCGAATACTTAAAAAATATATTTTGTCATAGAGAAATAATTGGTAAAATGAAAAATTAAAATCGATTTATAACATATATATTCATATTTTCATTTCTGTTATATAATCATTAAAGTAGTCATTGGTACATAACACAGGTACATATTTCATCTTCTGAATTGGAAAAATGGAGGATTCTATGTATTTGAATTATTGTGGTAATCAAAATTTAGAAGGGTAAGGTTGTCATTTCTTTTAAAATCATTTATTAAGTAGTCATTGGTACATAAAACAGGTACATAATTTTATAATTTACTGTATTAAACAAGTTAACAGTTTTTAATTCATTCAGTCATGTGATGAATGGTTACATAATAGCAATAATTTAAAGCTTTTGGCCATATCTCAAAAGTTGGTTTTGTCATTTAGCCGCATTTTAGCTTGAGAACGGCAGATTAGAACAAAACAAAGGAGCGCGAAACAAGTCTGTACAAGTTTTTGGCGCTAAAATCCAGACGAATACTTTTGCCTAATATTCGGCTATTCGGTCAGGGGCCTCGCCGAATATTCGGTATTCGGTATACTGCCGAATATACAATTCGTTGCAAGTCTAGTTATTATTATTTTGTTTTTATATTGAGGATATTATCAAGTGAAAAGAAATTGAGGGTAAAATTTTAACCTTAGCCTGTTGTTGCCAATCTTTATATGAGTCTCTTTCATACTCCAACTCTTTGAGTTTGCTGGTGACTTGCTGTAACTCAAAGGTTTGTTTCTCAAGTTGATTTTTCAGACTAACACACTGCTCAGCACGAGAAGTTTGTTTTGTAACTTCTTTCTTCAATATTTCTACTTCTGACTGAGCACCTTCTAAAGCCTAAAAGACAAAATAGAGTTAGAAATGAAATCAGTAACTACTGAAAATGATTTACTGGTCTGATTTTTAATGCACTGATCTTACTGGTCTGATTTTTAATGTTGTTTCCTAAAGTTATTATATATAGAAGATTATACATATATGTGTGACATCCAATAAATACACATACGTACACACACACATACGCACACGCACACACACACACGCACACACACACGCACACACACACATTTATTATATTAATGTACTGTAATATTGATTAATGTAGTATTATGGTACTCATTTATTTGTATGGCTACATTGCAAATAAAATTCGAGAAGAGCGCTGAAGCCAAAATACAGGATGAACTTCCTAGTTTGGCTGAGGATGTCTATATGTAGGTACTTTGTGTGAAATAATGGCCTTAGTATTAACATATTTATAAGATTATTACCATGTACAATTTTTTACAAATAAATGTATTATTATTATTATTATATTTCTACTAGAGGCTTCCAATGACCCCATACAACACTGGCATAAGAATAATTTTCTCAGTTTCTGGTTTTACTTCATGCTATATCTATATATTTAAGTTTTATTGCTCTTTTATGACATTACATTAAATGATCAGAATATGATCTCAAAGAATACTAGATGACTGGAAGATAAGAATTGATTGGTATCACTATACCATTCAATCATAAGGAATAAAAAAGAGGAAGTAGTCATATGGATTATGTGGATGTAGTCAGCAGTCCTGTTTATTAAAAGTCATTGTTTTTACTATCCAAGATGAATATATAGAAAATTTATTCAATAAATCACTTGCAAAAGGATTATTTAAATCATAATACCTGTAATAATTCATCCATGTCTTTTTTCATCTCTGAAAGTTGATCCTTACTGCTTACATTTGATTCAAGCAATTTATCTTTTAATTCAGCTATTTGCTTAAATAATTCATTCTTTTCTCTATCCCAGTTGGCTTTAGCTTCATGTTGCTCTTTGATGGCCTGCAAATATAAAAAAAAAACTCAATAATGAAGTAAAGCCAAAGTTTAACTTGAGTTTTATACTATGTTGTCGTTCAACACGGAGAACCCAGTAAATGGAGATTATCTAATAATATAAAATCAACTTTTTGGAGATTAAAAACTGTTTTTTTTTTGTATTATCAACAAATTTCGATTAACTAGGTTTTTGCTGTACAATGATGATATTCTGATTACTAATAATGTGTCACAAAGAACGTACCTCATTAAACTCATCTCTTAGTTCTTGCTCTCTTCTCCTGATAACCTGAAGTCGATCTTCCATATCAGAGAGAGCTCTCTCATCTCGTTTGTGCTGCTCCACTAAAGACGCTTTCTCTTCCTCAAACAAGATCTGCATCTCTTTGCGAATTGTATGTTGATGGTTCACACGGGCTTCTAATTTTGTTATCTAAATTAGTGGGACAATAACATTTTCCATTTATCACACACTATTCCAAATACTTAATGATAATAATAAAAAATTTTTGTAATAACAAGCTTTTACTTAGTTTCTGCTATGCCTAGGGTTGCCATCTCTAAAATTTGACAACCAGGCCAAGACGGGTAAAAACCCTGGACTTTAGAGCCCAGAACTTGGACATGACAGTTTCTTTTTTAAACTTAGTATGATAAAAAAACAGTTCAGATAAAAAAAATCATAATTAAACTTTTTTATGTTGATGCAAGCAAAAGAGCTAACAGCCCATCTGATGGTAAGTGGGCACTGTGGCCCGTGGACACTTGCAACACCAAGGGTACCGACCACTGCATTGCCAGCTCTGAAGAAAAAGGTTTACTTGCTCTTTGAAGACTGCCATATTATCATAGCTATAAGGGAAAATGCTGAGAAATATTCGTTTCTTTGTTTGTTCATTTGATTTTTTGTGGTAATAGAACTTGGCCTCTAGTACCAGATTAAATAATTCCACAGAGTACTTTTCATTGTTTAGACTGTACAACATGCACAGAAGTGAGAACAGCATTCCATATGCAGCCAGACCTTTGCTTTGTAAAGCAACAATTGATATTTAGGATTGAAGCACTCGCTCGCTCTATTGAGCACCCCAAGCTTCTTGCAGGCTGGTTTGGTTTTTCCTTCCAAATGATCTCAGAATTGAACTTCAACTCTTGGAATTCCAATGTTTTAGAGATGTTGAAGGGGCTTTGCTACAAATAAGGTACCACAAAGAATGGGGATTTTTTTCCCCGTGAACGCACACACTTGTCTTTTCTGGTTTAAACGAGACCGTTTTACTGGCCCCAATTTGATACTTGATACAGCAACATCTTAATCTGAGATAAAAGTTTGTTAACACACTCTTCTACTTCCATCCCAGTGGTGTTTGGCCAACCAGTGTAAAAAGTTTTGCCTGTACTATCATATGCACATCAACTAATGCTGTCATTAGCTACTAAAATTAAAATTGATATGCAAAATAAAAAGCGTGGGCGACAGGAATAATCCTTGTAGGAAGCCAAGAAAACTGACAGGCCAAGGTAGTAAATTTTTAAACCTCGACTACAAATGAAACCTCACCTGAACTAAAAATGAAACCCTGCCCGGACGCTCCCCAGATGCCCTTTAAACTAGGACCAATCCAGGGAAATAGCTATGCCTGTCTGTCTGCCTGTCTGTGCAGACCTTAATAAAATTTTGCAACTTGAATTTTATGGCCACCCTTATGTAGTTTAATTACTTATCTCCCTATGTAATGTACCCCTATCTATATGGTAGGCCTGTTTTTTACATACACCGTTTTACATAAATAGTTAAGAAATAAAGTAAAATAATGTGTATGCATGAATCTACTTTTTACTGTCCCCACTGGGGCCATAGGCTTGCCATATAGATGAAATTTATCACATGGGGAGATGGGCAAACAAAGCAAAATTGACAAATATATAAAGAATAATATGTAAGATTACTTACCTGGGCTTTTGCAGCAATGAGATCTATTTTTAATCGTTTGGTTTCCCAAGGAGAAGGGGGTGCTGAAGTTGCGTTTGAAGATGATTCAGTACGCATACGTTTTTCTGGAGTTGTAACATCTCCTATACCCAAGCTAGACTTTCTTTTTCCAATGGAGAATAGGTTAGTTATACCTGAGTAGCAAAGAATTTAAAATACACAAAGTACACATATTTGAAATATATCACTGCAAGACAAATAATGTTACGAAGTTTGTTACAATACAAATCCTACCTTCCTTAATAGATTGATTACTATCAGAAAAATTTAACTTTGAAGCTGTGGACAACTTGTCTTTTGGTGGATTAGTATTGATGACTCTCCTAAATGGTTCTAAGACATCATTAAATAGAGACATGTCACTCTCTTTAGCCATTTTCAGGTTTTAATTCCTATTCATTACTCCGAAACAATAATTTTATTTAAACAGTCAGTCATTACAGTATGTACAGTAACAACAACAAAAGTAACTCCATCTCACGGTTCCGGCTCCTAAGTAGGGATGCCCGATCGATCTAATTCATTCGCCTTTTGCAATATCGGTATTTAAATCGATTTAACAGGATCTAAGTTTTTCCCAGACCGTATGTTCAAAAGACCGTAATGAGAAAAGGAAAATTCAAAAAATCAAAATCCCGACTGTTTTATTATTACTCCAAATAAAAACTGAAAAGGAAACTGAAATAAAAACACCAGACCCATTAGATATTAGTAAATTTTTTTTTTTCAATAATAGGTCCCGACTGTTACAGTAAACTTTGAAAACAATATTATTCTGAGTTTCTCATTAAATTCTAATAATCTTAAATACCTAATATGCAAATTTATTTTTCGTCATTTAATAAGAAGAAATTTTCTCACATTTGTACTGTAAGTATTTCGTTTAGGATTTGATACTGTGAGTAGAATTCTAGCCTATTTTTTTCTTCTCCTCCTAGGTAGTGTTGCCATCTGGGATTTTGAAAAAGGCGTAGACCCGATGAGATAATTACGCAGAATTAATAAAAGTTGCATATGCAAAGTTCGTAGATATACGTACTTTTTTGTGTGTGAAATGAAGAATATAGGGTAGGTGAAACCGAATAAAACGTGTATTTTGTTATACAATTTATTTAAAAAAGGGAAATAGAACATAGTTTTTTGGAAAAGTTGCTACATTGGCCGCATTTACCATGCTGTGGTTAAGATTTACCATAGGACACAGCCACTGGTGGTTCTCGATTCTGGCATGATTCTCTAAACTTAAAATGAAATTTAACATCAGTCTCTCCTTTACATTCTGTATAGAGTATGATAAGGATACACTCTTGTCAAATAGGCTAGTTGGTACCTTTTGGAAATATGTTTTGAATTATTTATAATTGTTCTATTAAACCAAAAAACTGTATTGTATTTTTTTTTTACCTGTAGCTACAAAACTTTAATTTTAAAATAGATTTTCATGGACATAAAAAAAATCGCTGTTGGCCATTTTAGTCTATAGATTTATCTATGCTATGACATCAAACATTTGTAAACAAACTATCTGAGTTTATGTTATAAACCCATGATTTTTAATAGATCACATGAAAAATATAGTAGTTACACATCGTTAAAGACTCCAGAAAAGTTGTGGTTTAAATTAATATACCTACCTAGAGAAATAAACATACCTATACATGAACACATGTTTAAAACTTGCTAAATCCTTTAACCTTATCGACTGAAAGTCATTTCTTTTTGCAAAGATCAATTTATGTAGGTTCGTACTCATTGAATAATATTTAAAGTTTAAAATTTTTAAAGCTATGAATGTACCTACTAAGTCAAAGAGTTTTGTCGATTCTGCTTATACAAATCATGCGTGCATTAATTTAGTCAACAAAACCGATAAACGGAAACTTTTCCACAATATATAAGAGTTTATACATACATTTTAGTCCGACGAAAGAAACCACAATAACACGACAATGACTTTTAGTTGTTTACAAATTTTGTGACGTCACAATCATGGTGGACTGCGTTTTCTGTGTATAAAAACTATAGACAAAAAAATTGTGTGTGTCAGCTCCGACGCACGACTGGAGTTTACTTCTTAAGTTCGATAGTCTAACCAGACGCAAAAATAGTTTATTTAACTTAAAAAAGATTGATACTGTATGAAAGGGTAAATTAACAAATTAATGAAAATAATATACATATATAAATATATATTTATTCATTTCATATACATTTATTATAACTAATCGACGAAATATTTTACATTAAACCTTTTACAATATTCAATTTCAGATGTGCATAAATAAAGGTACGCTACGATGCTGTGCTACGGTGTAGCACTGCGGCTGCTACAGCGTAGACAGTAAAAACGTAACGAGGTCATTCATCGATAGATTTCACTCCTCACATTTTTCTCATACCGGGCCCCTTATATATGCAAATCGATTCTTAAGGAGTAAACTCCAAAAAAAAAAAAACAAATTTTCTAATTAAATTACTACAGCCATCTTCTAATTTTATGAAGTGAAATCGGTGTTTATTAGGTTACTCATACCAGAAATTATAAGAAATAAACATTTGTATAGTTTTTAAGTAAAGTAACGGAAAACATTCTTCTTTATTTTAGTGAATTAAGTTATTTTGCAAATTTATACAAATTAAACGAAAATACGTAGATTCTGGGACTGAAGTTAGTAGGTTTGCAGAAAAGGCCTAAAATACGTACATTTAAGTAAAAAGACGTAGAGGTGGCAACCCCGCTACTAGGTTTTATCTACGTTTATAAACACCAATCAAAATTCATCAAAATTTCTTCTCCCACCATTCCCGCAGTCTACTCCTGCATAGTACAGCGCGCTATCACTTTGTCATCGTTGTAACTTTTGAAATATTAGAACAAAATATACTCTCTGTTTACTTCATTAGGGCCTTAGAGTTAGCCATGTTTATAGTAAACGCTTTTTCAGTTATACATATATGTTAAAATAATGAACATAATATGTATCACTGAAAAAGCGTAGGCGTTATTTATTGCAATATTTATCAAATCAATTAATATATTACGTGATTCATAATGCTTAACAGGTCAGTTAAAATTTAATAATGAAGCGCCCCACACTTTTTCAATTATATATATATTTTAAAATTTTCATGCATTATTTACTGCACTAAAAAGCCAAAAACTTATAAGTGCAGTAAATAAAGCGTGTTTTTATGTTTTTAAACTATTAATTTATTTTACTTTTTTTAGTTTCAGTCATCGAGAAAAATGAACAGAACATGTTAAGACTAATCTAATGAGCCCAAACTCGATATATTTAATAGTAGGCAGTCCAAGGTTCCATCAGCCACCTTCCAGTCCCATCATCAGAGCAGCTCAATGGTAAAATAATATTGTATTGTCATCTACTTATAATTTATCATTACTACTATTATTATCTTTATGTAATTATTAAGTATGAGCTATATTATTGTTGAGTTTCATTAAAATCCATTTAGTATTTTTTGGGTAAAAGAGTAACAAAGATCATCATACAAACGTAAGATTGAAATTAAAATCGCAAGTGGTTAATATTTATACAACTTTAAATCGTTGTAGATCCTACACAGTCACTGGTGACATAAATGGCATGGGGAACCTAAACATGATTTTCAATTATCTAGACAATGACAACTCGACATATTTCGTCAACTATTTTTTTTCTTTCTCACAATATGGTGCCTAAATTAAATTTCACTTATAACCATATCTTTAGTAACACTTCCATAATTAAGACGAATCGATTGACGTACGAATCATTGGAATCAACACCCGCACGTGTTTGGTTTCTAGTGTGCCACAAAGGAACATACATATATAGACTGTTAAACACTATACCCTGTCTGCGCTCTTGCATTTCCCAGTCGGGTAAAAATTAAATGCAAAATGTATTTCAGGTACCTACTCAATTGGATAAGGATGAATGCTGTATTGCTGAAAATCGCTTAGTAAATAAGCTATTATTTCTCATAAAAAGTAAAGAATAAAAATGGTTATTTTGGGTTATCCCTAAGAGATAGATATATACCATCGCAATATGAAATTCCAATATGATTTTGAAGAATTGTGTTGAAATGATCATGATTCGGATCACAAATATCAATACCGATTCAATACATCGATTCAATGCAAAACATTGGGCATACCTACTCCGAAGCTTCATTCTACTTTTTTTTCTGATACTGATAATCTCCCTTAATAGGAAGGCAAAGTATACTAAGCATATAAAGCCTCATTTAACTTGCAATGTAGGTATGTAGTGTTGGTTCGGATGGAATCTTTCAACTCGAGATCAACATCTTTCAACAGGATCTTGGTCGCACTGTACCTCTCTTTAGGGCTCTTTCAATTTATGCGTTTCATGACGGCCTGCTGCGCGCATTTTGTATGAAAAAAAAGGATCGTCCGTACGCTGTACGACAAACGCACCGCTTCGGTACCGCAGCAGGCCGTCAAGAAACGCAGAAATTGAAAGAGCCCTTAGTCACCTGTTAGTTTTTTCAGTTCTATTCTTCCCTATTTGGCAAAGCAAAGGCAAATTCCTGCAAACATAGTCTTATTTTAATATTCTTATCTTTTTTTTTGGCACAAAATGTATCGAGTCCGCTTTCTCGACAAGCTTCTGTGAGGTCATCAACACTACAAGAAAGTTCTCATGTCCACTTGACCGGCGGTGTAGCGTATATTTTAAAGATTCCGTTAATTCTTCTGTTGCGCTGACGATTGTAACACAAAACCACACCAATTGTATTCGTAATAAATTGTATATTTCACAATTTATTACGAATTTAAAGAATAATTAAAATATGACACCAACCGCACTTCATGAAATCGCGCCATAACCTCAACCATCCCTATAAACTAGTATACTCTATGACCTCAACCTACTCAAGTGCTCACTGCTGTTTATTGCCCTCTCCAACAGAGTTACTCTATGGCCCTCTCGACAGTGACACAGAAGTCACCGAAATCATTCATTGTTCAGTTTTTTTTTTTCGGCGGGAACCTTCGAAGAGGAAAGGCGCGCTTTGAAGATTTTTTTTGCATTAATTTTAATTTTCTCTTTTTTTTGTGTATTCTTGTATAGTTTTATGTAAATAGTGTTTCAATTCAAATATAGGTATATAGAAGTTAAATGGCTAGTACGAAAAAGCGGAAAAAAGACTTTGGGGGTGGCGATGATAGTCGTCGTTCTTCGGACGATGAGTCTGAGACCTCTCAGAAATTCAAGATCTTTAAAGTAACTGGGTATCAAAGGAAATATCCTGAAAATGCAGATAAAACAGAGTTTGTTGTGTTTTTGTCTCACAAAACTTACGATACGCCATTTACGGACAAAGACAGAATAAAAATTTCAAAAGCCATCCGAACACATTGCGTGTCCGGTGTTTTACATTTAAGGCCGGTTAATCGGTATAAAGTCGGCATAACGTTCGATCTTTCGAACAATGCCAATGTTTTTTTACAAAATG